AAGCTGTATTTCCACATTACTTTGCGATGTTGTGTTCCTCGTGTCTCACACAAAGAGCAGAAGGCACCCAGATTTGAATTAAACATGTGAAACTAGATCTTCAGTATAGTGTGAACAGGATGGTGCACAGACATCCCAAAGTCACCTGTTCACCAGTGGAGTCATAAAAGAGATCAACTGTTTCATACACTGCACTCTGAAACACGATATCTGAGCCTTCTTTTTGCAAAGATGTGCTTGGGTTGAACGCTTTCACATGCAGACAAAGCTTTGAATTACATAACAGAAGGTTCTAATTTACAAAAATGTTCATCCACAGTGGAAGAAGACATGTATGACGAACTGTGGGGCAACAATATAGAGACTGCTCAGGAGACACTTCAGAATCCATTTCTACAGCACGATTTCTTTGCATCTTCACTTAAAATTTAGAGCAGTGAATTTAGAGCTGACTGCTCATTCACAGGGGGTCGTCTCAGTGTTTCTGTATCAGTGTAGGGTCTTTGTAATACAAAGCACCTCAAGGTGACTGCTGTTACAGAAATAATAAATGCTGTGTGTGTCTATGAAACATTAGCACACTGTGTACCTCGCATCTCTGCTTTACTGCTACTGACGTGCAGCTTCCTGTGATGGTGTCATCATTCAGTCAGTATAACCGCCTTTTACCACGTTGCTCTGCCATAGCTGTGGTTTAATTCTGCTAAACCACAATGTCTATGCTGAGTGCAGAACTGTGGAAATAACACAACACATTTGTCCTTGAATTCCTCTTTATTGTAGTTGAGGTGCTAAAATGACCACAACGTTATTTTAGGGACATAAATTGGAGCACAGTGTCATTGACCCACAGTGACAGCTTTTCATGTCTGCAGGCGTGTCCTGCACAGCTTTTCCACCAGGCTGTGCTGTGGAATAAACATGGGTTTTCCCACAGTTAAAAAGGTTTGCCTCACTTTTGATTTCCACTGTGGCTGTGAACTGTTTAATCATTTATTTTAAAGTGAAATTAAACATTAGTTTAGCACATTTTATATTTATGAATGGCTTTGAATTAATTTAACACAGCTTTTACAATGATAAGAGATGCAGGTCTACTTTTTCAGTGCGTACTCTCTATACCCAGCGCCAATGATTTCACCAACCCCACAACAGCAGGCTGAGTCGTGCTGGGATGTTAAAAGTTAATGCTTTACACTGAAAACCCATCTTACACACACATGCTACTAAATGAGAAACTTTAAGTTAAATGTTAACAGTCTGCAAGTCTTTGAAAAATCATCTGCAAATGATCCAAAACTACAGCAGCATAACTGAAGCCCCAGCATGAGCTGCACAAACTGGAATAAAAAGCCTGAAGGTGGCGATTTAAATTGTTTCACTCTGACACTGCTCCTCACACTCTGCAGCTTCACTCTTCCTTTTGTTCTTCCCACTACACCACAGGTGTTGAACTCCAGTTCTCGAGGGCCAGTGTCGTGAAACTTTTACAGGTGTCCTTGCTGCAATACACCTGAATAGAATTTGTAGGTCATTAGTTTAAAAAAAAAAACTCCTAAAACCACTTTTATTGCACCATGTTCATTCACTCTTGAGCTGCTGTAACATGAGTCAAATAGCTGAATTGCCACCCCTGAGAGGTGACCCCTGCACTACACCCAGTTTCCTGGTGTAAATATCAGCCACCTCCACTTTACCGGTAACTGTGATTAAAAAATGTCATATCGACCATTTTTGTGCACACAGGCTAAATAATCATTTTAACAGTAGATGTTGTCATAAATAATTTTGTCATGTCTCAGAAATGCTGTCTGTATCCTGACACAAATTTGAGCGGTCGTTGTCATTCCAACGCATCTAACTACAACAAAGGTGGCCTTGGAGGCGGGAATATACCTACTGTGCCTTGTTTTATGCAGCTGTTTCCTCGTTGATGAGTTTAAAAGAGGAGATGCTGTCATGACTCATCGAGTGATGCCACTGACCAGCCAATCGGTGACATGCAGACTGACAACCACATGTTAGTACCTGCTCAGAACTCATTCTTGCTTGGAATCCGGCCCTGGAGCTAGGATACTAAAAAAGTACCAGGTACCAGGAACTATGACCTAATGGAAAACCGTGAAAACCGTGCTGAGTCGATCCGAGTAGGTACGAATGGAAAAGTGAGCGCCTCATGTCACTCATCACTCTTTAAACTTCAGTTTGATTTCCTGAGTGAATTCTCTGATGTGCCAAGTTACTTCATTCAGTGTTATTGACCCCAGAGAGTGGATTTTACTCAGGTCTGTCTGACATCAGAATCAGAACACTTTAATAATCCCTAAGGAAATTATATGGGTTACAATTGCTCCAAGACAGTAACAGTAACAGACTAAACTAATGAAATAATACAATATATTACAAAGTTTACAAATTGAAGAAATAGCACTAATATATACAAATCGCCAGTGTTGGGGAGTAACGGAATACATGTACCGCCGTTATGTATCTAGAATACAAAATATGAGTAACTGTATTCCGTTACAGTTACAGTTTATTAGGGTGGTATTTAGAATACAGTTACTTTGTTGAAATAAAGGGATTACACGGTGGTCTTTTCCTGTTTCATATGTTAGGCTATGGTCTCTCTATTTTTGGTAATTCCACACCATTGGAAACCCAAACAAAACACGCATTAAGAGGCTCAAATGCCTGTGTCTCAATTTCATGTCTCATAATGACTTGAAGAGATATTTTTTTAAAATGATTTAATATGAAAGCAATAGCAGAGTGTTACAGGCATAGCCCTAAATAATGTAGCTTCATGGGCAGTGTAGTCCGTGCTGCAGGGAGAATGGACTGCCATACCTGTTATGTGTCTGTGAGTGAGGGAGGGAGAAAAAGGAGAGTGGAAAAGTACGACTTGTCACTGAGCAGAAACGTGAGCCGGAAGCATGTAAATATAATAATAACCACTGCAGCCAAAAAGAGTGCCTGACAAGCCCATAGTAAGCTATTAAGACTCAACTGTACACTGTGTTCCTGTTTTCCTCCGAAACAATAAGTTCCGCTGGAGCAGCCTTTCAACACCTCCCTCTGTCTCTGGCTAGCAAAGTTTACCCAGACAACAAAGTAAAGCTAGTTTTCGGCTATGAGCCCGTATTAGCCAGAGGTCCCTTTACTATGGTTCGGAGCCGCGGACCTCTTTTATGCATGGAAAAGTTTTCTATACTAGATCGCTGCAAAAAGTGCAGCCTTGCCTAATGTCCACCCTATTACTCATTTTAGTTGTAAAAAGCATGATAATATATTAAGTAATCCAAGGTATTCAGAATACGTTACTCTCATTGAGTAACGTAACGGAATACGTTGCAAAATACATTTTGGGGCATGTATTCTGTATAATCTGCAATCCAAAAGTAACCTTCCCAACACTGCAAATCGCTCAATTATAAACATTAAGACTACTGACAAAGAATATAACAGTGGTGAGAATATTACAGAGGTGGAATATATGTGGTTGACATTTAACTCTAGCCTGTGAACTTTGTCATTTGCTATTTTACTGTAGAGCGTGTGCAAAAGGGTGTAACTATTGCAGTGTTTACAATGTATTAGACGGAGTGTCTCGGGCTTTTGTGTTTGTGGATGTGACTTTCTTTTGTTATTTAGTTGGGAGCGTCTGTTCCCGGGATCCGTGGGTTAATCCATCCTGTGCTCCCAGTCTGTTCCTTCCTGTTTGTCTTTCGTCTCTGTGTTAAACTAAGCTCTCCTGTTTGAGTCTGTCATCTGTTACTTCCTGTTTTACTTTGGTGGTCTTTTGTTTCTTGTCCTTGTGTCTGGTTTAACTTTCCTTGTCTCGTTATCCCTGATTTGTTCCCACCTGTTTCCACTTGTTTCCTCGCCCCTTATCATCTGCTGTGTGTTTATTATCCGAGCCTCCCCTTGTCCTCTGTCTGCTCCGTGGTTCCAGGTCTTCCTACCCTGCACATAGTCTGACAGGTTCACAGCCACTGCTGCTTCGCTTCAGATCGCCTGTCTGATGGGAGCTCCTCTACATCCCATTTTTCACATCTCTGTGACTACGTTATTTTTTTTTAAATTTTGGATAGCACAGTCATCAGTCCTTCGACCTGGATCATCAAAAAGGAGAGTACAGTTGGAAAACACCAATCTCCATGTTCACCAGTTCATAAAAGAGGCCTGACCCTGGATAACGTTAATAAACACAACCTAAGCTGTAATGTCTAAAGCTAATGACCGTGAAAAATCTCTACGTTTTTTTACTGGCAAGATCAGCAGCATCAGGTCAGAGTTCAAGTGTCCCAGCCAGCTGTGCTCCCAAAGCTTGAACTGATCAGAAGTCGGTTTTGAACTGATTTCCACGACAGGTACACATCTTCCCTTTCCGACGAACACCATTAAAGCATTCATACATTTATTCATGCATTTAAAGAGATATGTCAGGATTGATTTAGGAACAGCACAAACAGTTCATGTGCATTTCATTTGTAATTTAATGGGGGTATGTGTACCCTGGCAATGGCTAGGTTATTGTCTTTTATTTATTTTTTATTTTTATTTTTAGTGTTTATAATTTCTTGTTGTTCTGCTGTTACCTTCAGCGGATTTTTTTTTTTAAAGCTTGGAAAATAAACAGTAAACGTTTTCATTTGGTTTTATTTTGAAAGGTGTGACCGGAAGGGGTGAGGGTCTGTTTTTTTAGTCCAGAGCCGCGGAGCCACCTGTCAGTGAGCTACACGCACAGAGCCAAGCTTTATCGAATCTGTGAGCATGGGGCCAACAGGTGAGTGACGGCGGGGAGTCTGTCGCCTGACCGCGGCGTTTTCAGTTGAAATGAGCGGCTGTCTGCGCGTGCCTCCTCCTGGGTCCTCTCTGAGCTCCAGCTGCGGACTCTGTGGCAGCTAGCAGCAGCTTAGCTAGCCGCTAGCAGCTGAGCTCGGTAATAAAAGCTCAACTGGAGAAGAAAAGGTGTCCATATTTGTTCGAGAGCAGAATAAAGGAGCCGGTAGGCCAGTGTGTGCAGGTGTTCTGCACGTTTCTGTAGCATGTGAGCTAACCGGGCTGCTTATTCATGGAGCTAGCTATGAACTACCTGCCTGTGGGGCAGCATGTTCTTTAACGGGGAAGCGCGATTTTACTCGCAGACACACAACACGGGTTAGCTTCCACAGATCAGAGACAAACTCCGCCGAACTTCATTCAAAAATCCGCCAATTTAACGTTAGCGCTGTTCTCTACCACACGTGTAACTTCCTAAAACAAAAGTAAACACCCCTTCTAAACCTTCATCGCCTAATAATGATTCCGGCAAAGCGCTGAATGCCAAACATGACGTATTCCATCATGGGAGGTGTTAAAGCTGATCGCCTTTTATACGTTTTTATTAGGTATTAATTAAATGGTGTGAGAAGCAGACCTGTTGTTATCCCTTTATGTTCTGCTCTCTGACACGCAGCAGACGATGTCTCTCTGCAACTGCAGCGTGAAAAAAGTGAGCCTTTAATCGTTTTTAGCCAGATTTAGTTGGATGATCATTTATATTTCATGGAAACGCTAGGATATTATGTAAATATATAAGGCTATGATTATTGTTATTATTTCAGTATAACTGGCCTTTTATATCAATTTAGAATGGCCCATTCTTCAGTTGGGAGTTTACAAAGGGGAAAACAAATAAATCCACACAACCAACACCATCAGTAATAATAATCTATAATAATGTTGCTTGGCTCTGTTAACAGATACGTGGCACAGATCTGTAGAGTACAGACTGCTTTGTCCTCTTATAGCTTTGATGTTTTCTCACTTTCTGTGCTTTAATCAACATCCGGATCATTGGCATTACTCTTCAGCATCTGGTTTAATGAAGTTTAGCTCTGAAGCAAGCTGGACTTTTTCAGACAATAAGACGGCCATGAAATTAATAGATCCTAATCAATATTCTAAATTTCTATATTGGATTAGATTTACAGCAGTATGGATGCCTCGTCTCCTCCAGCGGCTCCTCCTGTCTCTAAAAGCTGGAGCACTCATCACTGAACGACTTTGTGCGGGAGGAAAAGGGTGCTGTCGGTCCTGCTGTCTGTGACGTCGGCTCACGCTGTAACAGGATAACAGTGATTTGAGTCTGAATTCAGCAGCAGCCCGCCTGGCAGACGCTTTAAACCTTGTGTCGTCATTGATGTTGTTCTAATCTTCATATAAAAAACGGCATCTTAGTTTTTCACCTGAGGGATTGAAAGTGGTGTCGAGGTAGACGGGTAGACAAACCTGTTATAAGCCTGCTGCTCAGCTCCCAGCATGCCGTTCAGCGCTAAAGACACGTACCTTCCTCTTCTCCATCCTCTTCCTCTGCTGTGATGTCCTCACCTGTCTCCTCCTCAGGTGAGGTGGTGTTTGGCAGCCCGGTGCCGGTCTGCCCTGAGAACCGGTTGCGATGGGATCTGAACCCCGAGCAGATCCAGCAGCTCTCCGAGGAGCTCATTGCCAACACCAAGAAGGTGTACGACTGCATCGGAGCCCTTGACCTTGACAACGTCACCTTTGAGAACACGCTGAAGGCGCTCGCCAACGTGGAGGTCGAGTACACCGGTGAGCGCTTCCCTGACCCTGAAGACTGACTTTTTCATAATAATAATAATAAATAATATTGGTAACAGCTTTACTTTATAACACTGTTCAAAGACACAATTACAACCTGCTTCAGAGTTTGGATATTTAAAAAAAACACCACATTAAAGACACACAGACAGACACACACACATAGTTAGGTCCATAGGTTTCAGTGTCCATGTTGCAAGTACATCAGATTTTAAATCAGATTGTCAGGATGTAACTGAAGTGCCGACTCTCAGCTTTCACGTTTAAAGTCGACGTGATTTAAGAAATAAGTGCTTCAAGTTTTTAAAACGTGTTCAGCCCCATCTTCTGTCAGTAAAGGAGATTACATCACTGGGTTGGTTGGTTGCGACTAATTGAGTTTCATTAGTTTATGTTAGCTCATGAGTGAGCCTCTGAAAATAAATGAGAAAAAAGTAAAGATAATTCCTGAATAGCTGGTGCAGATTGTCATCTTTTGTTCTTTGATGTAGCGTTGCACTGAGGCAGAATTACAGGAACAGCGTCCCCGTGCAAAAACGTATTGAGTGATGACGTTTGGATTCTTTTTGGTCTGAAATGTTTTTGGACTCTTAAAACCTGCAGCAAGAAATGATGATCTGTAGATTTGTTATATCAAGTACTCACGCGGTACTGCCTTTTCTCAGTATTATAACCACAGAAGGAGCAGAGCTCTGTGATGATGCGTGCTTATAACTGTAATCTGTAACTGTAATTTTTTTTTAAGCATTTTGTGAACACAGATTCTAGTTTTAGTTTTATGAAGTATAATAACTGTGAGGACGTAGTTACTACGTTCTGCTGGAATTTGAGCTTGATGAAGATGGGCTGTGTTTAATGTACGCTTTCTTTTCCAGATCTAACTTTGTTACACGACATTATAACATAAAACCAAAGAAAAAAAACAGTTTTGAAATAAATACAAGTAACATGGTCAGAGATCGGGGGATTTAGGCAAGTCTGCGGAGGTTTTCCATGCTCCGTGGGTACAGTTGTCCTTCCAGATGTTTCGGTGGTGAGATGGTGACCCTGAATGTAAAGGGGTCGAGCGTGCGGCGTGGACCTCGTGGGCTGTTGGGTCTTTGTGAGCGCTCGCTGCAGTGAAGCTCTGTGTCAGCACAGTGGGGCTGTGATGGTAAAGACTCATCAGCAGTTTGCAGAGAAAGCAGCTGAACCAGCTGCTGCAACAATGGAGACTGAGGCTTTGTTCACAGGCAGCTGAAACCCAAAAACACCTCCAGCTCTGCAGGAGGAAGCGCACAAACAGCCATGCACGCCACTGAGGCTGAACACGGGCATCCATTGCGGCCTCCGCGTTTCTGATATCTGAGTAGACGCTCGAACCGCTAACAGGATAAAACAAACTGCACCAAAGCCAAAGAGTAAAAGCGTGAGCTAGAAATGAGCTGAATAAGAGGTCCTTTAGGAATAAAAGAATAATTAAAGGTGGAATAAGAAGTAAAATCTCACTTTTACTTCAAATATTTGATCGTTTGGAGTTTGTCTTTGTTCTGCATGAACTCTGAAACAAAACCTCAGACATCACTGTGGTTCAGTGGAAATGTCCAACATACTAATGTATAAATGACTGTGGTAAGTGCTCCTCGCTGTTAACTGCAGCCTGACAGCAGCTGAAGACCAACCTCCATGTTTGATTCACACATTTGAATCCAGGAAAGCATCTTTTTGTTTTTTTATTTCAAGCATTGTTTTTCCTATCAATACTCATAAATCTGTCAAAAGTCTGCCTCATACATGGCCCTGCCCTTCCTCTGTCTCTTTGTTTGGCCCTGCCTTCTGCACCCCAGTTCAGAGGAACACATTGGACTTCCCGCAGCATGTGTCTCCCTGTAAGGAGGTGCGAGCAGCGAGCACAGATGCCGACAAACGCCTTTCCGAGTTTGACGTGGAGATGAGCATGAGGGAAGACGTCTACCAGAGGATCGTTGCTCTGGAGGTGAGATGATGTCACTTTGCAATCAGTTTTCCAGGAGTCAGCCAATCAGGAGGAAGACAGCTTTTAGGGAGAGATTAGGGGAGGGGTATGAAGAGGGAGGTTAAGGTAAAGGAGGATTATATTGCAGAGGTGCTGCAATGGTTTTATTCTGTTACTGAAAAAGAATAAAGCCCATTTTTACACCCTGGAGCTCTGCTGCTCTTTGAACGTCCTGTTGTGTTTGTGTCTGCAGAAGAAGATTGACCCTGAAAGCCTCACCGTGGAGTCCAAGCGGTACATGGAGCGACTGATCAAACTGGGGAAGAGGAATGGCCTCCACCTGCCCAAAGACACACAGGAGGTAGCTCCTTCCTTTTTTCTAACCTTTATTTAAAAGCTCTTGTGTACAATACCTCCTGCTGTGACCTTCAGATTACCGCAGGCCTCAAATCCTTAAGTCTTACCAAATTAGGGTCCTCGACCCCAAAAGTAGAGCTGAGAGAGAAAAACATCTCCTTACTTACTGCTGAGATGGTCAGGTGACTAATGCACCTGTTGTCCTGTGATTAATCAACCTATCAGGCTGCAGCAGGAAGTCTTTTTTTTTTTTTCCTTAATTGGTTGCGTGCGTTAAACATGTGACCAACCATCAGTAAAGCCGCCGCACCTGAGGGGGAAGTGTTACAGGCCAGCTTTCACCCGCACGCTGCTTCATGTGTAACATGGGTGTGTCTCTGCCACTGTAGAGGTATCCTCGGGTGTCACCCTAACCCAGTAACGAGCAGTGTAATCAGTCTCCTGCATGCAGTTCTGCAGCTGGTGGTCCCGGTTCCTGAGTGTGCTGAGCCAGGAAGAGAGCTTCAGGATACTTGATTGGTCCATGGACAGGCTAATGCCGGTGCCTTCGCTCATGATTTAAATGCTGAACTGTATGATGACGCACCCATTCAGAGCTGAAATGTGTTTTTAAGTTTAATGTAAGGTCTGACCTGACTTCTCTCTCTGCTGTCACAGGAGATCAAAACCATCAAGAAGAAGCTGAGCAACCTGTGCATCGACTTCAACAAGAACCTAAACGAAGACACCACCAGCCTGTCCTTCACCAGAGATGAGCTGGGTGAGTGGAGCTCCTTCAACATTTTAAAAGCCCTAAAAGCTGCTGTTTGTAGATCGCTGTACAGTCAAAGTGCCACTGAGGCCTGCTGGGTAATTTGCCATCCACCTGACCAATCAGAAAACACTTTGGTTAACCACAGCTCGGTTTTTACTGCAGCAGCGCGGTGGCGGATGATCCTGGTCTCTAAATGTAGGTAGGAAGGAGACCTCTCACCTGCTCTCACTCACGCCTGCCCCAAAAGCTGATATGAGCTATCAAAGTTTACCCAGAATGCACCAGCGCCGGTGGTGTGATGCTCACGCTGCTCAGAGGAAAAGTAGATGTAGCCTCAATGATCCGGGAGTGGGTGGTGCATTGTTTATTGTCGATGATAGAGAAGCACATTTAATTCATAACATTTAAACAGTCAAACTGTTTCAGGCGGCCTCCCCGAAGACTTCCTGAGCTCTCTGGAGAAGGACGGCGACAAGCTGAAGGTCACGCTGAAGTATCCTCATTACTTCCCCACCATGAAGAAATGCTTTGTCCCAGAAACCCGCCAGAAGCTGGAGGAGGCCTTCAACTCCCGCTGCAAGGAGGTGAGAGCAGAGGACCTCCAGAAAACATTTAAGACAGACTCGCAGAGCTGTCCTCCTTAATTTACACACAGGGCGAGCTGTAACTTCAGGCAGAGGAGAAAAAATGATTTATTATTTTGTGTATTGGCTTTATTTCCAGTAAACTGAAGGAAAAACAATCATTTATTATTTTTGCCCTGTCCACAGGAAAACTGTTATTGATTTTGGTTGATGTGTGAGGTCTGCTGAAGAGCAGATGTCAGTCAGGAGTCGGACGAGCTGTGGGGTGGGGGTGAAACTTGGCAATGTCATCCACAAACAGTTTGGTCTTAATGGATCTCGTGCTGGTTTGCAGGAGAACTCGGCGATCCTGAAGGAGCTAGTGGAGCTCCGGGCTCAGAAGTGCGCTCTGCTTGGCTTCACCACGCACGCCGACTTCATCCTGGAGATGAACATGGCCAAGTCTGGGAAGAAGGTGGCCAGCTTCCTGGGTGAGTCCTGAGAGCCCAGCTGCAGCCTCAGAGCTGCTGTTGGTGATGATGGTGGCAATTACCTGCTGGGAGATTTTATTCTTGCTGAAATAAACGAGATCTTGTTGTGAAGTGTAGTTTTCACACCGCGGTGATGTCCGGTTTTTCTCTGTTGTCTCTCAGAGGACCTCGCCCGGAAGCTGAAGCCGCTGGGTGAGGAAGAGCGAGCGGTCATCCTCAAGCTGAAGGAGAAGGAGTGTCAGAAGAGAGGCCTGCCTTTCAACGGGGAGCTGCACGCCTGGGACACGCGCTACTACATGACCCAGGTAAGAGCACAAAGGATGGTAGGTAATGGTGTACTGCAGTCCCACTGATGCTCTGTAAGGAGCTAAAAGACTGACATCCACAGAGCTTTAGACTCGCGTTAGGTCTGTCCAAGTTTAACAAGGAAGCAGAGGAACTGAGGCCATTTGATAAGTCGTATTTCTGTTTATCTCCTCCTCTTCCTCTCCTGTCAGGTGGAGGAGACTCAATATGCCGTGGATCAAAACCTGTTGAAGGAGTACTTTCCGATGGAGGTGGTGACTCAGGGTCTGCTGGACATCTACCAGGAGCTGCTGGGTCTGTCCTTCGAGCTGGTGGACGGAGCTGCCACCTGGCATCCTGATGTCACTCTGTACTGCGTGAAGGACCGTGTCACTGGTCAGGTGGTCGGGCAGTTCTACCTGGACCTCTATCCGCGGTATGAAACTTTGCATCCTGGGTAATGAAGTTATCCTGAAACACACGCAGAGATTCATCAGGACAAACCAAAACAGGAAATTTTCTTCAGGAGCTGCTCTGCAAATGTTTTAGTGGACATTAGACAGAACAGAACAGAACAGAACAGAACAGGCTAAATACGCAGCTCCTGGGGTTTGGAGGTCCATGTTCTAGATCAGACTCAGATATTTTCACGGTAATATGTTTAGAATAAAGAGTCTAAACTAAAGAAGGTACGTGTGCGGCTTCTGTGGCACTCTGGTTGGAGTTTTGGGCGCGCTGCAGGTGTGTAGGCTTTGGAGTGTTTGCTGTAAATTCAGGTGTCCTGATTTTGACGGGCAGCGTGAAAACAGAGGGAAGTGGATGGTAGCCAGGTGAAACGGCGAGCTGCTGTTACAGAGAGTTGAGCTGAATTTTAACCCTCTGGGGTCGACGGACGCACGTCCAAATTACATGACTAACTTAAGACAACACGGCAACAAGATCCATTTCTACTTGTGTCTAAAGTGCAGACTTCAAACTACTTACCAGTTTTCAAATTGTGTTGATAGGCCACCTAAAACCAGAGTTATGATAAAACAATACACGCAGTGGAGGTTTTTTCTGAATAAACCATGGTATGTTCTAAAAACAGCGCTAACAAGCACTGTCCGAGTAAAAAAGAAAGGAAAAATCACCCCTTCCCTATTGGTGTTAAAGTTTACCATGTTGACCAATCAAAAGCATTATATAGCAGCATGTGGCATTTGGTTGTTTAGGATGAGGCGGAAGTTTTAGGTGTGACGCTGGCGAGAGAGAGAGCGAGTTTTGAGATGTGAGAGACTTGTGATGTTTAGCGTGTTTGGAGTCTGTAGTTAGTGTGTTGTCTTGTGTAGTTAGTGTGTAGTGTAGTCGTTGTTTTGTTTTGTGTGTCCGAACAATGCTGAATGTCACAGTTTCTTCCAAAAAGCCACAAAAGGCAAATTGCAGTGTTAACACTGTCACCAGCTAGAAAACAGGTGATACACCTCATGTTGTCAGACCTGCAGCGTTTAGGCCTGTGGTGTTCTCCTCTGTCTTATAGTGGACAGAAACAAGTTTTTGGAGTGGCACAAATGATTGTTCTGTAAATAGTTTGAAATGGTTATATAAAAAACGCCTTGGCTGCATTTTTAGGTAAATAGCCACATATAACTTTGTTTGCAAAACTTTTAGGTTTTAAAATGTACTATTTCTATTTGCATTTCAAGTTATGAAAAGGATTCGTTAAACATGTTTGTGGTTGTTACAGTAAAAAATATTTTAAAAAATACTTTTTTCTACTCGGATTTTGTTTTTTTTGTTTTGTTTTTTTTGTCTGAATTTAGATCGATTGTGTTACAGTACAGTACAGACATACAGTATGTCAAAATGAAAAAATAACTATAAATTCAGACATATGAGATTCTGCTGAAGAGAACGATACCAAACAAGGCGAGCTAAGTGGGTTTTTAAAGGTGAAATGTAGAGGTAAAATAAAAGTAGTCAAAAATGGCCAATTGTATCCTGGACCCCAGAGGGTTAACTTGGCACTGTGCTTCCTGTTCCGTGCAGTGAAGGGAAGTACGGCCACGCCGCCTGCTTCGGCCTGCAGCCAGGCTGTCTGCTGAGTGACGGCACGCGCCAGATGTCGGTGGCTGCAATGGTGGCCAACTTCAGCAAACCGACGGCGGATGCCCCGTCGCTCCTGCAGCACGACGAGGTGGAGACGTACTTCCATGAGTTTGGCCACGTCATGCACCAGCTGTGCGCTCAGGTTAGTTGATGTTCACCTGGGGCCAATAACGATGCCCAGGTTCTCGTGGTTGTGATGAATCGTTTCAGATAAACACTCTTTAATGTGGCACTAAATGATAAAATGATGTCATGGTGAACTTCCTCACTGCAGGCAGACTACGCCATGTTTAGCGGGACTCATGTGGAGCGGGACTTTGTGGAGGCTCCGTCTCAGATGTTGGAGAACTGGGTTTGGGAAAAGGAACCTCTGCAAAGGATGTCCAAGCACTATAAGACCAGAAACCCGATCCCTGACGAGCTGCTGGACAAACTCATCAAGTCCCGCCTTGCCAACACCGGTACGTATTGCACAGGGCCCTCTGTTACACTGGAGACGGTTTGTCTGGTTAAATCTTGTTATTGGGAATTCAGCAGGGCTTATGTTTTTTTTTGAAAATCTGGGACAGTTGGGAGAAGCTTTAATACGCTCACACAGCTTCACTGGACAGATCGGAATCAAATAAAATGAGCTTTGCTGCTAAACTGAGTCTTCTGATAATCACATTTCTACATGACATCACAACAAAAATAATCCAATTCATAATTAACACAGTAAATTATTTTTCAGCCAAAGTTTCAACTCCGCCTCTCCTCAGTCTCTCCAGCAGAGAGCATCATTACGCAAAGCACTGGTGTACGGCTTAGTTCCACCAGCTGACAGCTCGCATGTGGAAGCAGGGACGTGCTTTGTGGATGTTTGGCTCATTAAACTTAATAAAGCCATCGAGAGCGCTCCAACTAGTAATGCAGTGTCTTTGTTTCTTTGGCTGAGACGCTCGACCACACGGCCGTAATCACCCTGATGACCTCTGACTCTCTGCAGGTCTCTTTAACTTGAGGCAGATCGTCCTGGCCAAAGTGGATCAGGCTCTGCACACCAGGAAAGGCCTGGACCCCGCAGAGGAGTACGGACGCCTCTGCCAGGATATCCTGGGAATACCTGCCTCACCTGGTATGTACTTCTGATTGGTCGTGGCAGGATGTGACACTAGCACACACGGATCTTTCACCTCCGTTTGTGTTTGTGCTTTTTTTGTGGTCACTTTTGTCTCTGGAGCGTCACTGCATTCCTCTTCTGGATCATTCTTGTCTCTTTATATCCACTGTGCTCTCTTTGGTTCACCTTCCACTATTAAAAACTTTGATATAACGAAACTCTCCATCTTCATTTACAGTCTGTGTAAAAGCAAATGAAGTGAACATGATGAAGACAAGTGTCCAAACTCCACCTTCACTGTTGCCTCTTTCTTCTTCTCTGGCCATTGACCTCTCCTTCCTATCCTGCAGGAACCAACATGCCGGCGACCTTTGGACACCTGGCGGGCGGGTACGATGCTCAGTACTACGGTTACCTGTGGAGCGAGGTGTTCTCCATGGACATGTTCTATGCCCGCTTCAAACAGGAGGGAATAATGAACCCAAAGGTCAGCAGCTCCAACGTTTACATTCAGATAGACAGGCAGGAGGTCAAAGGTCACTCTGCTAAACTACTACAAGATCAGCTTTGAGGTATAAATAAAGTTGAGCGGCTGAACATGTGACAGGAGGAGGTCCTGATTTATAGTTTGTCAATGAACAGCCTTCAAATAATCAATAAAATAACAACAAAATATTAATGAAACACAAACTCTACACAAAAAAATCAACAGTTTACAAAACACTGCAGAACAGTCTGAAACTGCACAAAGTCAAACCTTCAGATATAGTTATTTTAAATAGATATGGAAGACGATAAAAAGCAGCGTGTCAGAACATCTGTCATTAAAAAAATGTAAATGTTTATTAAACAAATGAAGTGAAAAGTGTGACATTTAGGGCATTTACAGCAAAATGTATACAAGCAGAAATATTAATAAACTGTTAAACTGTGTGATCAGATAAACTGATAATCTTGGGATCCTTTAACTTCATGTAGTTCAGAACTACAATTCTCATTTAAAATGTGTTTGGAAAAAAAAGTGAAGAACAGCACAGCTCTGTTTGAACAGTCTGTATCTCTGATGGAGCCCACCTGTCCAGGTGCACTCGTTACCATGGTGATTAGATAAGCAGAGACTTTAATGATCCCCGCAGAGGAAACGAGGCCTCACAGCAACTGAGTGACTGTGAGGAGGAGGAGGTCTGGAGGCTACGGTGGCCCAAAAGTACCAAAACAGAGACGGAGATGTGTTTTCAGGGCTGCAATGAAAAGCATCAGGATTTATTAATTACAGTAAAAGAGTAAAAACACTTTCTCAAGTTTTTGTATTAGAAGCTGACGGAGGTTCTCCAGATGTTTTAGCCCCTCCCCTCCTCCATAATTTAGTGTTTTAGTTTCTGGATAAAACAGTTGATCAGCTGATGTTACTGGTCATCACTGAGCTGAGCCGATTTTCTTTATCCGTGTGACATGAACAGGTGTTGTCACCTGCCAAGTGAGGGTGATGTTTCCAAGTGACAGGATTTACCGTGCGGTGACTCAGAAATGCAGAGCTCACCTCGTATTTGACCATCTTTACTTCTCACAGTCGAAAGGAAACTGAGCGAGGATGGTTTCAGGACTTTCCCTGAGGGTCATCTAACTCATTCATAGTTTCTCTTCTCTGATTGGTCCCCCAGGTGGGTCTTGACTACAGGAAGTTCATCCTGCGGCCCGGCGGCTCAGAGGACGCCTCTGAGATGCTGAGGAAGTTCCTCGGGCGGGAACCCAAACAGGAAGCCTTCCTACTGAGCAAAGGACTAACGTTGGAGCTGGACGCCAGCACACCATGTCCCTGCTGACCAATCACAGCAGCTGGCTCCACCCCCTCCTCGTTCCCAGACGTGAAACATATAAAAGTACAGACTGAGATTTTCTAGAAAAAACTGTAAAATGTTCCAACATGGAGAAAAACCTGTGAATAAAACGATTCAAGGTGACTTGTGTTGTGTCTCAATACCTGACTGAGGGTGCTCACAGGAAGTTTCCTTCTGAGTGAGCCTTCTAAAATAAGAGTCTGCTTTTGGACATTTGGTTTCAGAGTCCACATTTTTGCCAAATAACATAAAAGAAAAACGTGGCAGATAAGAACCGATTGGTTAAAGTCGGCGTCTCCATCGCGTTTCTCCGGCGTTGGATGAAGCTTGCATCATCTTAACATGCTGCAGTTCAGCTTCAAACATGGCTGCCGTTTACTGATGAGGACCGAATTATTAGCCCCAGCATTAATTTAGGCAGCAGATTTAGTTTGTCACAGTTTAGCCATTAAATTCATCTAGCTTTAGTTGACTAAACAAAGATTATCGTAAATAAAATCTAAAAATTTTACGCCCTCTTTGTCGGTAACCTCCCTGCATGACACAGAGGTTCCTTCTGATTGGATCACTTTAAACTATCCCTGCCTTTCTGCACAACTTAAGTACTTCTGATTGGTCCCCAAAACAGTTTTCCTTAATTTTTGATAAAAGTTTCGACACGTTTCATCACTTTTTTTTTTTGTGATTGAGTTATTATTTGGTTATCAACATGTTTTTGTCAGGAAACAAATGATTGTTGACAAAATAAAACGATTAGCCCCCAATGAAAATTCATTCTTAAGTGTTCCGAGGTGCTGTTAACACAGAAGCTTTTCCAAACTTTTTTTATTTTTTTTTATTTTGTCCCCCATCCTTCCCCCTCCTCCGATGCTAATGATCAGCTGTGTGGCCTTTTGGCTGATAACAGCCTGTAGTCCATTGTAGTTTTCATCGACTCACTAACTCATCTCTGGGGCGATCCCAGCCCGTTCATCTTTGGAGAACCTGTCAGGCTCTTCTGACTATTTTCTGGCATGGACCTTGGTCTTCACTTCAGCCCACGGTCAGGGTTTTGTGCAGGCTGCTCAGTAACGCTCACTTTGGTCTTCTGGAGCTCGTTCTTGGGTCGTTGTGTTGGGAGCAGTGTTGATTAAGTTACTTGAAAAAAGTAATTGGTTACTAATTGCTGATTATTTAAGAAAGTAATCTTGTTACTTATCTGATTACTTATTTTCAAAAGTAATTAGTTTATTACTTAGTTACTTTTTAAAAACATGATACACAACCTCAATACATAATAAAGCAATAGACCGTTCAGCCCAATTCTATTTTCTCTGCATAATCAATCATATAAAACTGAATCAAATGAAAAAGTCTCTTTAAAACTTGTTTTATTAGTTTTAATCTTTTAACTACCATGCACATTTATGCACATTGCATCAAGCACAAATTAAATTATATGCAGTCTCTGGCTTGAAGAAATTTAATATTTAAACCTATTTTCTGTATATTCCAGCATATAAAATAATTGCACTCAATTTTTCAATTAGATGCAAGTAAAACACAGCAAAAATAAATAAAATCAAAGATTCAGCAGCACGAAGTCCTATCACTCTTAAATCTATTTTCACCTGTTTAGCAGGAGTGGGGCCGTCAGAGGTTTGCCCGTTGTCTCAGTGGACATGTCCGTGGGGGGGGGATCTGGGGGTTTCTTTGTAAATTTCACATTCCTGTGGCAGCGTGCTAGGTGCTTGCTCAGATTTAAAGTTTTATTTTTATGCTGTAAAAAGAAGTTTTCTTCCCATGCAGTGTAAAGCGGACGCTAATGTTTTGTTTTTTACGGAATCCAGCTCAAAGTAATGTCAGTACTTCCAAGCTTTAAACGCTGCATGGTCGTACTCACTCCCACACTACATATGATCCATTATTGATCTACACACGTCTGTTGCACGCTCGTACATCATTGTCATGAGACACAAACAAAATCACTGTTTAGTAATGCAGTGTGTTTACAGGAAAGAAACAGTAATGTAATTACTTCTTTTACAATAGTAATCTCTTACTTTACTCATTACTTGAAAAAAGCAATCATATTACACTAACGCCCACCTCTGGTTGGGAGACCCAGCTTTGCTTCTCAGTGGATCCTTCCTCCTTCCTTCATGATTCCTTCCAGTTTGATGAAATTCCCAGTTCCCACAGCATAATGCTGCCATCACCATGCTTCAGTGTTTCTGTGTCCACTGAGCGCCAGTTTAATTTCATTTGACCAAGGAAGGTTCAGTCTGCAGGATCTTTCACCAGGTTGTCCTTGGCATCCTTCAGTCTGGCTGTAAAGTGTCTGTTTTTGTCTCCATGCCATTCCTGCGCAGGGTTCTTTAATATTACAATCCCTGACTCTACTAAATCGTCCACATGTCTCTACAGATGGACTGGGGTCAGAGACATCTCTCATCTTTTCTTCAGAGAAGATTGAAGGACACAAAGGTGGTGTAAAGGTGATATCCAGCATCATACAACTTCCTTTTACTGTCAAAATGTTAAAAAAGGTTGTTGGAGAAGCACAATATTCTTGCTGTGGTGTGGGAAGTTACGGAAAAGGCTCTCCTCAAAGTTTCAAACAACCTTTTGCAGATAAATGTGTGCCCGGCTCTGCATTTGATACCTTTTATCATCGTTAATCTTAATCAAACCACATGGTAGGGATCCATGCCATGTGTTAGAGTGATTCAATCTTGCTGATGAAACATTTTCAGTCTCACTGTCTCGTGTGGTGTTCCTCAAGGATCTGGTTTAAGTCCCTACTTATTTCCATTGTATATTCTGCCGTTAGGTCACATAATTAGTTTTAATACTCTTCATCAACCGTACCTCTCCTTTAAACCTTACATACAGTATATATTATCTGTTGTAACTGTCTTAATGGGAAAAAAAATTAGCTTTTTAACATGGGAGTCTATGGTGACTGACCCACAGCTGGAGACCTGCTGGAGGGCAGAGGAGTTGCAGCTTTGTGTGTTCAGCATCTAAATCAGTGAGACAGTGTCTGATTAACTTTTACTGAAGAACAAACTCTAAAAATCTCTCTAGAACCTAAAGTTGTGACGTCTCTTTGTCTTCACCACTCATAAAGCTTCATCTGGCAAGTAATAAAACATAGATCTTCCTGGAAGCTTGTTGTTCTTCTAAGAAGTCAAACTGCTGACTTTCAGCCTGCAGCAGAGCAGTAAACAGCTGCTACTTCTTTCTGCTTTATGAACTCGAGCGCCTGCAGGAGGGGATCCAAACCCCGACAGGTTCGTGTTTACATTGGATCAACTGTTTGTTCTCCATTTTCACCTTCGGGCTGTTTTTTTACAATCGGAGCTCTCTGAGGAGGTTACATCCGACCAGGAAACTCCTCCGAGTGCAGACGATGCTCTCAGAGCTGTTCTCACTCTGAACTGCTCACACATCAAGACTTTAATGTTTGGGTTTTACATGAAACACTGAAAAAGCTCTGAAACTTGATTTCCATCGTTTTTACAGCAACGTGCATATAAATCAGATTTTGACCTGCTGGGCTGGTTGATGCTTAATGCAGCAGTGCCAAAGAACCACTTAAACAGCCAACAGGTGAAGGAAGTGAAGCCATAGAGACTGATCGTGAGGTACTCATCACTTTGCACACGTTTAGGTTTGAAGGTAGTTGGCTCAGGCTCATGCCGCTCTGCGACCGCCCACCTTTGTTTTTCTCGTTATCATTGTTCTTCTGGCACATAATTAGCGTGAGCTGCAGCTGTGATCGGCGGCCCCTGAGCGCCCCGGCTTAGTAAACACAGGTGAGCTCACTTTAACGCCTGAGCAGGTGAGCCAATCTCTGTGGGAGCAGAGCCCACAGAGAGGAACATTATGGGATTCTTGAAAATCCTCTCAGTTCTTTAATAGCTTTAATTTTTACATGAAAACATTGATTCCATGTCAACACAGCCTGAAACTAACAATGAGTTTAATATCCAGCTGATGACAAACTGAATTCATGCAATCCACAAATAAACATTTCCTTACAGATTCAAAGAGCAGGTTGTCTGCGAATCACAAGGTTGGTGGGTCAATCCCTGGGTGCCCCAGTCTGTATGTCAAATACAAGCAAGACACTGACCCTGAGCAGCTGTCCGATGCATTCATCAGACTGTTAGATATAAAGTGTTTGCATGAACTGATGTGAATGAGGCATGTCGTATGAAGGGCCGAGTCCATCTACCAAAGCAAATATTTATTTTCTGTGAAACCTTTCAGCCAAGATAAGACACTCACTTCAGAACTCTGCTGGGAAATTTCAAAAAATGTGGGGACCCTTCCTTGATGCTTTTCAAAATCTATAAGAATTTTTCAGCAAACTCTCTTAAGTCAGGTGTGGAAATGCAGTGTGCGAGTGCAGGCAGTGACCTGGGTGGGAATGAATGGGATTGTTTTGCAGGGATTATGTTACTTTGGGATATATTATACATTTGTTTATATTTTTCTCTTTGTTTCCCTTTTTTCTTTTTCTTCTTTCCTTTTATTTCACAGCCGAAGATACATTTCTGAACTCATTTCACAGCTTAAATGTACTACTTAAACTTAATGTACAGATCATCTGTAATCCTTCTCTTTTCTTTCTGTTTATATGTATAATATATATGTTGATGTTTATGTGTATAAAAGGAAACCTCTTAATAAAAAAGACATTGTTTAAAAAACCTTTCAGCCAGTTTGACTTTGACCGGTCATATTTATTTATTTTTCTTTTTATATTTTATTTTTAAAACTAATTAAAATGAGTTGTGCGACTGAAGCTGAACCCCTGCCCAGCTGCGCTTTCATATTACAGGAATTATAGAGTACTTACAAAAACATCAGACAACATCCAGGTGGCGTGAGTAACTAAAAGTAAGGTTTTCATGCTGTTTACTTGATGTTGGTATTTGCACTTGGGGTAAACACTTGAGGGCAAATTAACATCAGGCACTAAAATGACCTCACTGATGCTACTGTCAGCCCCCCCGGGCATTTCAATCTGATCAGTTTTACACTGGACGTCCTTCCCGATGCGACCCCAGGGAAATGCACGTCTTGTCGTCTTTTCTCCAACGCTTCCTGTTGGAGTTTGTCAGGAGGTTAAATGGCCGCATGCTCCTGTTAGCAAGATCAACTGTGATTTTATTAGAATGATCTGCAGTAAACATCATTATGAACTCTGAGTCAGAGCAGAAGAGCAGTAAGGGTGTTTTGTTTGGCAGATCTTCCAGTTTAACATGAGCGCAGCAACACTGACGCCACTCTGTGGGCACACCTGCAGCTCAGGTGGGAGGATGGTTGTCCTGGAGGAAGCTCTCTGAGGGAACAAACAGGCTGGAGCGCAGCCGAGGAGCCTCAGACGCCAGGAGAAGGAGAGGAGGACGACCAGTTCCAGGCTGTGGATGATGGCACAGAGTCCGACAGAAGGAAGAGGAGGAGAGATCGGCCCGCAAGACGTGCTGAGAGGATGCACAGACGGCGCTCAGAGGACAAAGAGCAACATGATCCGAGTGTTCATCAGCTCCACGTTCACAGGTCAGATTACCTCTGTGGGCTCAGAGCGAACCTACGCATGCTGCTCAGCACCAGTTTGAAGCTCAAACATGAAATCCCATCAAAGCTGGAACTGGTTTAACGATGAAGAGCTCTGCAGCTGCTCTTCATCGTTAAACCAGAATGATGAACAGCTGCAGAACTTTCACAGATCTATTTTTCTCCAGCTCCATCAGTCTGGATCTGATTCTGCAGCACTTTCAAACATGACTGACTATAACTGTTCTCCAGAAATACAGGTCAAAGGCTACAGAGTTATTCTGCTGGGTCAGATGCTGCTGAAGCTGAAATAATGAGACAAACTGAGGAGCCTCAGACTGACCTGAAAACTGCTTTTCTGCTTCTGTAATGAGCTGATGTCATCAAATCACGTCTTTATAGGATGAATACGATTATTCTGATCATGCAGAGTTAATCTGATCAAGTGGGAAAAAAAGAAGCATGGAGCTGAGCAGAAAGGTGCTTTACCATTTCATACACTGGCGATGGAGCATTTCCTGTGCTTGTTTTTTGGTAGTAAAAAGGCTGAAATGCCTTTGAAGTGTCCACGTAATGAAGTGTCATGTCCATGTAATGCACACAGTTTGAACAAATATACAGTGGGTATGGAAAGTATTCAGACACCCTTAAATTTTCCACTCTTTGTTATAATGCAGCCATGTGCTAAAAATCATTTAAGCTCATTTTTTCTCTTTAATGTGCACACTGCACCTGATATTGACAGAAATACCGTTTTCCTGACATTTTTGCAGATTTATTAAAAAAGAAAAACTGAAATATCACATTGCACATTCATGTTAACAAAACTTGTAAACATTTATCCACTCTCTCTCTCTGTCACTCTTGAGAAGGCACTTCAAGTCCTTGAAACGAGGAACCAAAGCTATGTAAAGCACGTGTTCTAAACTAATCCACTTGGCAATTGTGTCAGTCAAAATTTTCAAGGTAGACTTACTGAGCCCCTGATGCTCCGTGAGTGGTTTGTCGCAAGCTGGGTGATGCATTAGCCAAAGTTCTAGCAGCATCGACGACTAACGTATACCCCCTCACAACCGGATTAGGGTTGTGACAGGGCCTAAATACCAGGGGGTCTGAATACTTTCCGTACCCACTGTAGATGGGAAGTCGTTAGATTGCGTTTGACCTTGTTGTGTAAAGACTGCTGAGAATTGGTGCGATACAGACTTTATTTTTGGTCAGGGAGCAGTTTCTTCCGGCTCAAACTGCATGGTTTCAGCCAGAGAGCGCTCAAACCATGCAGGCTTATATTTTCAGATATCTCACAAAATCAGCTAAATGTCAAACACAGTGAAAGTGGAGCAGGTTGAAACTTTGTACCTCGCTCTGCTCCTCTGGATCCGGGTCAGAACATCGGGACGATGTCTTCCACTTTTATTCTGCAGTTTGATCTGTTGTGATGTTTTAATGTCAGATGTGTTGTCTACGCTCATGATGATAAAGAGTCCAGATGTGGATCAAAGTGTCATTCTTAGTTCTGAGCTCGACTTCCTGTACACTTGTCCAGATCAGATCTCAGAGTGAAGGTTCGTCTCTGCTCCAGGTTCATTCACTGAAACTCTCAACTGAGACTTTCTTTGCTCTTCTGTTCAGTCTTAACTTGATGTGAAGCCAGCTCAGACGCTCTGATTGGTTGTGCTCTGAGCGCCACGTGTGATTGACAGTTTCTCTGATCTGTGGTCAGATATGAGCAGCGAGAGGAAGGCTCTGCTGGAGAAAGCTTACCCAGAAGTCCGGTCCTTCTGCTGCGGGCTCGGCCTGGTGTTCGAGGTCAGTTCAAACGTGTTGTGCTCATTAAACCTCATGTGAAACTGTCATTCATGAGGGTTTAACCATTTCTACTCCTTTCCTGTTTTATTTTGAAATCAAGTCTCCTAACATGCGTGTGTTTTCCCCCAGTTTTCTGCCCACTTTGTTCCTCCTCTTTCACCTGCTGGACCAGTTTGTTACCTTCATGTTTTCTTTCCTTTTTCACTTAGATTTGATCATCTTTGTGTTCACGTCTCTTTTTTTCCAGTTTCTGCCTATGTGGCATGTTTTCTCCATGGTTTGGTCTCCTACCTGCTGATGAAACACCTCCAAGGTGCACAGGTCTGGAGACTCCGCCTCTTTTCCACGGACCAAGGCAGAAATGATCAACATAAATGACCTGGATCCATGTGAAACAGACTAGTGCCAAAAAACTGCTGGGGTCAAAGAACCGCTGACATCAGCGGTATTTTAGTAGCTATGGCAACAAAGTCTCAGTGATTGGCAGGAGCAGATTTTCCTCACACAGGAAATGCCAGCTTTTCTGCCGGTGTTACCAAACTGGGACAGTTAATGTGTCTCAGGGTCAGTTATGTGAAAGCTGCTGAGGTGATAGTTACACATAAGGTGCCCTTTGGTGGGCTGACATGAAGCACCAGGTAATATGAGCGAGTAGAGGCCGTGAGGGTTCCTGCTATGAAGGAGCATAATAAAACTTAAACAGCTAACACTGTCACTACCTTTGTTAAACCAGTCTAGTCCAGTGTTCAGAGGTCAAAAATTACCAAACAACCAAAAACTTCAAAACAAAATCTTTATTTGAAATAGAGTTCAATAAACGTTATCATAAAACGTCCAACCTAGTCTTTAGTATGAAATCAGAAATTTGCAGCTCCTTTACTTAAATTATTACAAACCCTACTCGACAGTCACAAAGGCTCCACGGTGGACGCGGCAGCAAACAAGGACAACTCCAAGTTAACCACCAACACTGTTTATCAGGATTTCTAGCCTGAAATTAGGCAGGAAAGGATCATCTATACATGAAGACTTATTCAAACAGATTAAAAATAATAGCTTAACTGGCCCGGTCTGTTGGTAGGAACCCTCCTTGCTGCATGTGGCAACCGTCCCATCAAACCTGACGAGGTGAAACAAATACCTCAGTCCAAAGTGGACCCTCGCCTCCTATCACACTATTTTAACCCAAAGCACGATCCTTTCCTGAACCCAGCTGAAAAGTTTTTACTGCCTAAACACGGTGAAGCATAGCATCCTGGCTGTGAGCTCTAAACTGGGACAGTTCACTTCCTGGTTGGTGCGTCACAATACCAAAACAACCAAAACACACCCCATGAATAACAAATGACCCATGAGCAGGTGCGGGGCTTCAGGGCTCCACATTTAACCCACTGACCACGCATCTCCCTCCTGAACTGCTGTGAGCTGCCTGAGTGGAGGTTTATACCTGCTTAAAGTTGAATGAGGTCACTTCCTCTTCAGGTTGTGGATCTACGCTGGGGGATCCGAAACGTCCCATCAGGAGACCACGAGGCCTGTGAGGTCTTCCTGGAGGAGATCCAGCGCTGCGAGCAGATGTCAGCTGGTCCAACGTTCGTTGTGAGTGCTTTGTCCTCTTCGTCACCGGGTCAAAGGTTAAGGTTGGACTTCAGCCACAAATGAGCACTATGTTTATTTTTATTAACAATTTATGTGTGTTTAGTGGAATTGAAATGTCTCTATTTCTTTCTTGACTTTAATTTTTTTTAGTTTACGTGTGGATTATAAGTACACATAGAGCTGATGCTGAGGCCGCAGTTCTTTTGGATCTGAATTGTGCACTCATTCTTCTTCTCTTTATTTTCCTGTTTCTTGGCTCTGAAGGCTCTGCTGGGGAACCGGTACGGCCACCGAGCTCTTCCTCGCCTCATTCCAGAGAAACTCTTTGACGCTCTTCTGTCCAAACTCTCCAAAAACCCAGAAGGCATTAAGACACTCAACCAGTGGTTTAAAAAAGACAGCAATGCTGTCCCACCCACCTATGTCCTTCAGCCAATCATAGCTCACTTCCCTCATTACATTGACCTTCGGCCTGAGAGCGGGAAGCAGCACGACAAAGATGTCCTGTCATGGCGCCTAGCAGAGACTCGGCTACTGCGACTACTTCGATCTGCAGCCACTGACGCCGAGGACACCGGCAAGATCACAGCCGAGGAGAAACAACGGTTCTACACATCAGGTGAAAGCTCGCGGACACCATGCACAGCTCGCAAATCAGGTCGCCCTCTGTTGTCTCTGTTTTCTCAGTGTTTTCTGGTTCTTCTTGCCCACAGTCACAGAGCGGGAGTTTGAGCGTGGTTTGTGGCAGAATGACTATGAATCATCTGCTCTGCTCTTCGTTCGTGAGATTCCCCGTCAGAAGTCCAGGGAGGGGCCCAAACGTTTTGCCAAGTTCATGGATGTGACCGGCGACGGCCTGCTGGATGCCGAAGCTCAGGGACTCCTCGCCGGGCTGAAGACACGGCTCTTCGTCAAGTCACAGAAGATCCTCAACCTGCACTCTGTGGAGCTGAGCAGAGGAAGCATAAATCCGAAGTGCAAGGAGCATGCTCAGTACCTGGACAGCGTCTGCGAGCAGTTTGTCTCACAGATGAAGGCTCGGATTGGCGCAGCGATGGATTCACTGGGCCGGAGGAAGATGTGGGGAACCACCGAGGAAGAGGAGAAGATGGACGGGTTGGTGGTCACGGAGGCAAGGCGCCACATTGCCATCAGTGCTGAGCTTTGCAGAGGTTTCCATGGCAGGGAGGGGCTGCTGGGGAAGCTGTGCCTTGCCATGTGGGAGTCCAGTAATGTCCGCCACAGGCCGCTGGTGGTTCATGGTGGCGCCGGGATGGGGAAGACGGCGGTGCTGTGCAAACTGGCCCAGGAGATGCGTGGTGTACTGGAGGCCAGGGCAGTGGTGGTGATCAGGCTGCTCGCAGCTTGCCACCCTCAAAAACCTGACATTGACCACGTCCTCCACAGCATCTGCACACAGGTGTGTTTGGCTTCTGGTCTGGCTCCGCCCTCACCGCTGACGGTCTCCACTCACTTGGAGCTGCTGCGATTCTTCTGGGATGTTCTTGAGCAGGTTTCCCAGCAGGGCGGTGCTCTGGTCATCGTCCTGGACTCTGTGGAGCAGCTTGCAGACCAACATCACGCTCACAAGCTCCGCTGGTTGCCTATTGACCTCCCGCCCAACGTCCATGTGGTTGTCTCCATGGAAACCAACAGCGAGGCATTTGCTAACATGCGGTTTAAGTTGGAGTCTCTGGGAAGCTTCTTTGAGGCAGAGCGTTTGTCTTGCGAGGAAGGTGAACGCATCATAGAGTCAGACCTGCGAGCGTCTCAGCGGACGCTGACGTGCGAGCAGAGTAGCGCTGTGCTGCAAACTGTTGAGTCATCTGGCTGCCCACTCCACCTCAAACTCATCCTGTCTGTCGCCAAACGCTGGACGTCCTTCACGCCACTGACAGAGCTGCGTCTGGGTACCAGCACTCAGGAAATGATGTCACACCTCTTCCTTATGCTGGAGGAAAAACACGGGAAGGAGCTGGTGGGCGGGGCTTTGGGGTACATCACTCTAGCAAGGTGAGGATATGGTCACACCTTTCTGACGAACGTCAGATCACCACATAAGATCGCCACTGTTTCAGTTTGGATTTATCCATCGATTAATACTGATAACATGATTGATTGATCACAAAAAGGTGATCAGTGTTTTGAAAAGTCTGAACTCAGAAAGCCAGAAAACAACCAAAACACACAAAAATCTCATCATCTGATCACTTGACTCCACAGGGAGGGTCTGCTGGAGGCTGAGTTGTGTGATGTCATGTCCCTGGATGATGATGTCATCAGTGAGGTGTACCGGTACTCCCTTCCGCCGATTCCGTCACTGATCCGGCTGCCGCCCCTCCTGTGGGTGCGGCTAAGGCGGGACCTTCAGGACCACCTGGAGGAGCGCTGGACTGATGGAGTCGCCACCATCGCCTTCAACAACAAGTAAGAAAATCTGAGAAATGATTGATCGGAGCAGACAAATCAATCATAAATTTAAAAAAATAAAATAAATCTACATCTGGCAACCAGCTGAAATTGAAATGAAAATTGTTTGTGTTTAGGCGTCTGTCCGAGGCGGTCTCAGCACATTATCTGAGGTCAGAGCGGCGGGGGCGAAGTTTGAGGATCCTGGCAGAGTACTTCCTGGGTCGGTGGTCAGGGAAACTGAGGCCAGCGTCTCTGCCGGGTCTCTCACTGCTGCTGTCTGACAGAAAGGTACAAAATCAGGGTTCAGGTTAAAGTGCAGTTATTTGTTTTGTGAGGTTATTTAATTTAAAAAAGGATAGTGTACTCATGAATATAAGGAAATTAGTGTGTCATTACATCTTCCTCCAAACTGATGCATTCTCATAAACTCTTAATTAATGAGTTTATAAGAATGCAAAAACACATAGGAGCAAGTTTGCAGTTTGTGAAAGCTGCCATATCAGATCAGGTTCATGATCCATGATTTATGAGTCGTTGGAAAGTTTGATAAAAATATAAATGTGTGATCTGACCAAGCCTAAACAATCTGTGGAAATAGTTTTTTGCGTCCATGGTGCATTTTGATTGATCCTATGCTGTCACAGGTCCCGCCCCAGCCGCTGTGGTTTGCTCCAGGATTGGCTAACATCAGGAAGCTGCAGGAGCTGCCCTACCACCTGCTGCACAGTGGTCTGTGGGAGGAGCTTCGACAGGAAGTTATTAGTAAGACACAACACAGGTGGAAAGGGGCATGTGGGCCCCGCTCACTCCCACTATTCTCAGCTGAGACCAAACTAAAGCATGTCAGTGTTTCAACTACTCCTGGTTTACCTCTGTGTATCTCCACTGTTCCCAGTTTACCTCTGTGCGTCTCCACTGTTCTCCATTCACCTCTGTGTGTCTCCACTGCTCCCAATTTACCTCTGTGTGTTTGCAGGCTGTGCTGAGTGGCTGTTCATTAAGAGCCGGCTGTGTGGTGTCTCATCTGTGATCCATGACCTGGACCAGTGCTCCAAGTACATGGACTGCACAGAGACTGGACTGATACGAGATGCTCTGGTCCTGATGAAACCCAGCTTATGCTTCCTGGAGGGACACATGGGTCAGTTAGATGTGTTCAATGGCTCATATTCACATGTCATGTTAAAGTTTTACAGTCTTCTCTCTTGCCGTAGAAGTGTCTTTGTTTTACTCCGAGCTGTTGGCCCGACTGTCCTCGCTCAACTCCGCCTTCCCCACTGTGATTGGGCGGCTGTGTAGCCAATGCGAGGAGTGGTTACTGAAGTATCCGGATCCGATTCTCATCCCAAGGAGCAGCTTCCTGCAGCAGCCAGGGGGGGCGCTGCAGCACACGCTAAGTGTGCTGCGGGGAGGTCAGATGATGCGTTTTTGGTTTAATTTGGTTTAATTCGGTTTTTGCTTCGACTCATTCAGCAGCCTGACTCTGTGACATTTTTGCAGGTGTTGTCTGCATGGACATCAGCGTGGTGTTGAGGCTCCTAGTTGCGGGGTCAGATGACGGCGTGGTGGAGGTTTGGAGCATGCTTGACAAGCAGCTTGTCCACACCTTGCTGGGACACACAGGTGAGTCTGGCCCAGAACACACAGCTGACTGAACGATAGAACACAGGGTGTCTTCCTCCCGCTCCACGTTTGTACAGCAGGATGAAGGTAACTGTTAAAGGCTTGTTTACTTACCTGTCTTAAACACAGACAGGTAACTCATGGGATCTGTTGCAGAACCATACGAGCACTCAAATTTTTTTGTGCCAAACCCCCTTCAGCCGATAAAAGTCCAGGCTTCATCTGATTTATGCTCTTTAGTCTTAGGGCAGCAGTGACTCCGACAGAGACACAGGCTCTCCGGCGTGTCCTGGGCCTGCCCCATCGTCTCCTAGGAGACAGCTCACCTCATCCTGCCTCCTTTCAATGTGGGGGACCAGCGGCACTACAAGCTCAGACCCGTTTCAGAGGAAGCTAATATCCACCACATGCGTCCATGATCTTATTTTTTCAGTGGTTCATATATATATAGCACTTCTCGACTCTGAGCACACAGGTTTGCTGATCCACCTGTCGATCTCCTGCTCCATCTCCCCTCGCTGTGAACCTCAGATACTTAAACTCCTACACCTGAGGCAGCTACTCGCTCCAACCCAGAGTGGGTATTTGATCAATAAAAAAACAACAACAAATAAACAAAACAAAAAAACAGGAACTGACGCTGAATTTCAGAGGGATAAACGTCAGTGTTAAAGCATTAACAATCAGTTTTTGTCTTGTTTCCTCCGAAAAATAAGTGAGTTTTATGCAGTTTTCTTCCACGTCATCTAGCTCTAAACCCCACCTGTCAGATCCGTCTACAGTCCGACTTGCTCTGCAGTAAGGAACCACATGGGTGATGCAAATACAGGGAGTGCAGAATTATTAGGCAAATGAGTATTTTGTCCACATCATCCTCTTCATGCATGTTGTCTTACTCCAAGCTGTATAGGCTCGAAA